TTGTGTGTGTGTCCATTTGTGTCTGTGTATATAAAGTTTGATATTCTATTGTTGTCTGTATAAATGATTCTCCTCTCCCCCCCCCCCCATGTTTAGGGCCCTACCAAATTCATGGTCCATTTTGGTCAATTTCGTGATCATAGGATTTTTAAAAAATCATTAATTTCATTATTTCAGCTATTTACATCTGAAATGTCATGATGTTGTAACTGTAGGGGTCCTGACCCAAAAAGCAGTTTTGTGGGGATGGCAAGGTTATTATAGGGGGCGGGGGTTGTGGTTCTGCTACCCTCACTTCTGCGCTCCAGATGGCAGTGGCGCTGCCTTCAGAGCTGGGCAGCTGGAGAGCGCTGGCTGCTGGCCGGCAGCCCAGCTCTGAAGGGAGAACCGCCATCAGCAGCAGTGCAGAAGTAGGGATGGCCTGGCATGGTCTTGCCACCCATACTTCTGTGCTGCTGCTGCTGGTGTGGCGCTGCCTTTAGAGCTGGGTGCCCAGGCAACAGCCTCTGGCTGCCCAGCTCTGAAGACAGTGCAGAAATAAGGATGGCAATATCATAACCCTCCTAAAATAACCTTGTGACCCCCCCCCCACAAACCCCTTTTGGGTCAGGACCCCCAATTTGAGAAACGCTGGTCTCCCCCATTATATCTGTGTAGTATAGGGTAAAGGCACACAAAAGACCAGATTTCACAAGGGGAGACCAGATTTCACAAGGGGAGACCAGATTTCATAGTCCGTGACGCTTTTTTCATGGCCGTGAATTTGGTAGGGTCCTACCTATATTTGTCTGATTTGGACAGGCCGAGCCATCAATTCAGTAGCATTTTTCTGCTGGCAACTAAAAAAGGGCGAGCAAAGATCTATTTTTCATGTTAAAAAATCTAAGATTTTTAACTTTAAAGTCGATATAGTCAGAAAAATGACACCATGGATTTCTGCACTTATTCGATCTGTAACTTCCAGATCAAACCTGGTCAATTTATTAGTAAGAAAGTTTCACTCTAGGTGTCACCACTGCAAACTGAACTTGGATCTCTGAAAATTGTTGTGCTCCTTGTCTCCACCACCACCAGTAATAAAGATACAGTAGAAATTTAGCTGAAGGTTTTTGGTGATACATGAGAATAGAGTCTCTCTCGCTCTGCCATGACTATGGTTGTTCTGCAGTGCTAAGGGCACTAACAACTTGTTAGTAGAGCTAGCAATTACATCGTCATCTTCAAGTCCCTCTTACAACAAGACTTCAGTACATTTTAACCAATGGGACACTGTGTGTGCTAAGTTGGAGGTGGAAGAACAATGAGGACAAGATATTTCTAAAGCCCATAGATAGTTTTTGAAACGAGTACTTTTTGCCTGATCCTCAGTTATCGCTATCTGGCATCTTTGTTTGTAGAGATGCTAAAAGTCTGAATGAGCATGAAGACAGATCATCTGGCTCTAAGATGTCATAGATCAATGGTGTGGAAGAAGCTTATGCTACCACTGTGAGTGCTTGAACCTGATCTGTAAGGAAAAAAGAGAGAACTTCATTCTCCATAGATGTACGTCCGGCACCAATAAATAAATAACAGCTATTTAACCATGCAAGTAATGTAGTTATACTGGAAAGCCACACTTCTTGAAAGTGTTGACCATCAGCTTTGTGCCTCATAACCCCTCTGTCTCTGTTATAAACACATACATGCAATTGTATGTTGTTACTTACATAAATATATCAAGAGCTTTTGATTGAATTAATATATTTGCTGTTATGTTCGCCACATGCACACGCATTTTGGATTGTCTTGAAGTTTGCTGTGCCTCTTGGGGGTGCAGGATAGGGTTAGTGGTCCAAATTTGGGGTCATCTGAGCAAAGGGTTCCTCAGATACTACCTCCCTATAAAACCCCCACCCATTGACAAAATCGCCTGATTCTTCTAACTTTTTTTGTGCAGATCTGGGGCTCGAACTATGGCGCTGGTCCTCCCCAAACAATATCGACCCTTGGGATTCATCTCAGCTAGTGCACAGCACTTTGGGGAACCAATGCTGAAAAAATTGAGGGTTGGCAAGAGCTAACCTGACGTGCCTAAGAGGGTGAAATGTTCATATGCAGCAAGTTAACAGCTTGCAATCTGTTGTCACTATATAAGTGCAGGGCTGAAGGGGACATGCTGTGGTCATCGGACCTGAGCTGCACCCGTGCACTGTGAGGTGAAGCCCTGCCCATGGCAGTTTTCAGAGAATGCTTCATGTCAGTGCTGAGTTCTGTCATTGTGTCAGTAATGGACACAATGGGTCTTCTTGCCATGGGGATTGTCAGCAGTCTGGTGGCATACATGACTGATTTCTAGGGCTTGGTGCTGGGGAAGTAAAAGCAATCTGTAGGACTCCTCAAGGCGTGGGTGAAGAGGTGGTAACATTTTACAGGTCTGGGATGACTTTTGTGGAGTAGGTTCAGTTGCTCCTGTTTGCTATACCTGACCTAAACCTACATTTTGCCTTATAATGTGAAGGTGTTAATCTTTGTCTGACAGTGCTAATTCTGCTTTGTTCGCAGAGTGTTCTGTAATATCTGTAAGGGCAGAGTGCTCGTCTGTGTATTATGGGTGTGCTGGGGTATCACTTGAAGAGGTCAGAGTTAAGGTTGTGTTGTGGGGGTGATGTGTCTTTCAACTCCAGATTTCCTGGTTTTCAGAAGTTTGTTTGTATTACCCGCCTTCTCAGTTTCTTGTCTACAGAGGTTTGAGCGTAGCTGAACTCAGTGCCCTTAACGCTGCATTGACAACGTTTTGAAGGCAGTTATAGGTTCTATTTTCTGTGGCTGAAGTGTTTGTTGTTGGTTAAATAATTTTTAGGTAGTGGGTATTGGCTGTGCTGACACTTAATACTCTCCATTAGAGACAGTTGCTCTCAAGCATTTGTAGTGTGTTCTGAAACTGTCTAGCATTTGTACTGTCATAATTCACACATTGGTACCAGGTTAGTTGAACATCTGTGACCTTAAGAGAATTCTTAGAAGTTTGCATTACACTCATATAACACTTCCTTTTTTTTGTATTTAGTTACATCTATTACTTGATAAAGAGCATTTAAGCAGTTAACATTGTCTATAACATAGAATAGTACAAACATCTCAAGTTACTGCAACATTTTTTAATATGCTTAAATGCATGACATTGGTGCTCTTGGATTCATTGCCTACTTCATAGAGCCCTCCCACCACTAACAGATGTTCACAGACAGAAACTAACATTAAGATAAAGTAAGGCTGAAAGTATATATTGTAAATATAGTATAGTTAAAGGTATAAAGCATTACAGGGATTTTGTAATAATCCCCAAACCAAGCATTACAAATCCAAGAAATTCAGAATTAAGGTTAAAAAAAAATCCAAACATTTCAAGGGTATGGAAATTCATAGTTAAGGCATCTAAACAAGCTTAACTCTGCTTTATAGTGATGCCATGTGATAATTACACAATTATGATTAGTGCATACTAGTATCTAGGTTCTACATTAGATTATTGTTCTTTAAAGACACTATTCCTCTTTCCCCTCCCCTCCACCAACTCATTACCACTACCAGGCAGGGAAGGAGTGGAAGGGGCAGAGGGAAGCAAGTTTGTGGTGGTCCTCAGACAGAGGAAGTCTTGGGGGAAGAGAGCTCTTAGGAAGACAAATACTACAGAAATTGAAGAACTGGGATAGAGAGTTTAGTCCCTGAGTTAACACTTATGCTTTAAGGGCTCCTTGTATGCTCCTGTCTCAGCTCCCATGGCTGTGCTGCTTTTGGTGCGCAGTGGAGCCTTTCAAACACTGATTCCCAAGAGAGCTTGTGGCCACAAAACCTTTGATGAGCAGTGACAGTCAACTGGGCTAAGCAATGTAACAATGAGAACCTTTGACATGAGTCCTTCCTCAGGCACTGACTCATTATAACCAATAGAATTGAAACATACAAATTACTGTAGAGGAAAAGAGTTATTTCAACTGTCACCAGGGCTTCAGTTATGTCAAATCAATGACCTAAGCTCTTGGACCTCTCCATGATCATAGCTACTAGTTAAAATAGTCACTAATAACATGAGCTTTATTTCAAGTGAATTTCTTCAAATGTGCCCTATGCATGAGATTTCAGTGGGTTAATTATCTGGAAAGTTTGAAGAGTCTTAATTCCTTACTGAGATTATTCAAGACATAAAAAGATATGACACAGAGTGCTACATTTCAAAAAGACCCATTTTTAAACTAACTCAACTAGATTTAGATGTAAATTCTTAGAAAATTCTGTATGCAGCATAAGTGCTGCAATTTGGGGGAGGATATGCCATATTCTTCATATACAATATGGAGGTGGAATCCCTTCTTTAAGTACAAAACCTCAGTTTACCAGCACTCCATAATGAAGGGAGCAGACCTGGGCCAGGTCTGTCTTATTTGGCAGATTAGTTTAAAGAATCCCCCTTGTTGCTACTTAAGGAGTTTAGTGTGTTTTAATGAGACATCTGAAATCTCAATTAACAAACAAAACTGTTTTTAAATCAAGGACTCTCAGCTTGACAAAATAAAACTACACATTAGAGCAGGTGCAGAGAATAATGTATATAACAGAGCAGCTTCCATAGGGGTGGTGGTGTGTCATCCACAACGGTACTTGCGATTTACCTAGCCCCTGCCCTTAGGACAGTGGTTTTCAACCTGTGATCCACACACCCCGGTGGGTCCACAGGCTATGTCCAAGATTTCTAAAGCGGTCCATGCCACCATTTGAAATTTTGTAAGGGTCTGCAAATGAAAAAAGGTTGCAAAGCTCTGCCTTGGGTTAAGACCTTGAACCAAACAACCCCCCCTTTGGGGTAGGTGAGCGTCATCATCTCCAGTTTACAGATGAGGAGATTGAGGCCCAGCTAGGTGAAGCCCAGGTATGGGCAGACAGCTGCAGAGCTGGAAATGGAGCCAGTCGTAGCTCCCAGCCGCCCCAGGTGCAACAATGGGAAAATGCCAGGGTCCCCTTACTCTAGCCCTCAAAGGGGCTCGCACCAGGTGGCGCCGCAGCTTCCCCCCGTGAAGCTACGCCTGCTTGGTGCGCTGGCCCTGGCGTGCAGAGCCGGGAGCCAGCCCCGAGCGCGCTGCGTGCGCTAGCGGGACCAGCCCGCGGTGGGTGCGCAGGGGCTCGGCGGCGGCGGGACGAGTTTGAAATTCGCTCCCTCGCGCGGGGCCGCCTGGCTCCGGCCGTGCCGCAGCAGATTGGCCCTCGCCGGCTCATTTGCATTGACGCCAATAAAGGCTGGAGGTCAGCGCTCGCGGGTGCTTGTATTGGCTCCGCCGCGCCGCCGCCGCTGTCAAACACCGGGGCAGAATTGCAAGGGGAAGCCTGGCAAGCGGGCAGCTTTGGAGGGCGGGGAAGAGGGGGATTGCTGCTGCTGCGAAGCATCAATAAGAACAGCATCCCCAGGCACGGAGCAAGGAAAGGAGACGCCGAGGAGAGGCATTCCTCCTGCCCAGCCTCAGCTGCAGGGAGAGCAAATGCCTGGGAATTAAACCTCTCGCCATTTTAATGCATACCATGGAGATGGGACTCTAGGATAATTTTTTTTTTATGTGTGTGTGCAACGTTTTGCATCTTTTCTGTGACCACAAAACATGGAGGAGGCCCTTTGATGCCTCCGCCAGCTGAGCCGGCTCCTCCTCTGGGTCTCAGCAGCCCCCCTCCGAGTTATGCAGTATTTTTGTTAGGGTGGCTCTTCTTCTTGCCCACCCCCACCTTGCCCGACTCAACCTCTGAGCTTGCTTCCCCCGTGCCTCCCACCCAGCCGCCCCTTGCCAGGCGGCGGCGGCGGCTGCCGCTGGGCTGGTGCAGTGCAGCCGGCAGCTCGGGCTGGCTCGCCCCGCGGCGGGAGCGGTGCCCGCGGCATGGAATGTTCTGCTGGATAGAGCCCCCCTGTTTCCGAAGGGGGGAATCTTCCTTCCGAAGCCCTTGCCAAGAGGAGGCTAGCCTGTGAATGTCAATAGCCAGCCTGCGCGGCGGCGGCGGCGGCTGCTGGGAAGGAGGAGGACGGAGAGGAACATGAATCGGACGGGAGCGTGATCGAGGAACATACTCTAGCTCCGGAGGGGAGTGTGGTTCCCCCCCCCCCCAACAAAAAAAAAAAAAAAAAAAGAGAAGGAGAGAGGCCAGGCAACTAACAGGGTCGGTTCTTGATCTTGGTGAGCGGGATAAATCGATACGCAGCGCCCGGTGGGGGCTGTGGGAGACAAGGTGTGTGGGGGGAGAATTCCTCCCCTCCCCCCGCCTCCCGGCCCCCAAGGTTAATTTGTAACACTCCGCAAACCCGAGTGGAAAATAGTCGGTTCTGTGGGCTAGTGCTGAGAGGGAACTGTTCCAATGTTCAGGGCTCTGAGCGCTTAGTCCAAGGAGACGCTGGTGTGGCTGCCCTCCCCCCCCATCCACCCCGGTCCCTTTCCCCGGGCTGACGGAAAATCCTACCGCGATTTTGAGATGGCTTCGTCTGAAAGAGAGAACCGGTGAAAGCATGAACTCGACCAGTTCTTGAACCCCCTCCCCGCCCCGCTGCTGAGCTTGAGCTCCAAGGAGCCCTGTTTCCTGGAGGAGGAAGAGAACACACGGTTCTGGGGGGCGGGGGGTAGAAAGGACCGATGACAATGCTCCCGAGCGTGGCAGAGAAGCAGGAAGGAGATTCAACCTGTTAACAAACAAACAAACAAAATTATAATAATAATAATCAAAGGGAAGAGACCCACTGGAAGGAAAAAAAATTAGAAAACGTCCCAAAGCGGTCACAAAGCATGGGCTGTGCTCCAAGCATCCACATCTCTGACAGCAGGGTGGTTTATCACAGTAGTAAAGAGTCCGAGGAGTCCAATTCCCCTCACCAGACCAACACAACCATGTCTCAGCAACAGCAAGGCAACTCCGTCCCGGGATTATTCATTAAATCCTCCAACACATCCACTTATAAGGTGAGGACTAATTCCTCCAAGAAAGACAAGAGGGCGAACAGCCAGAGCATGGAGCCAGACACCCAGACCAGCAGATCCAGCTTGAAGGTAAAAAGAGTGCTAAACATATTAGCACTATTTCTCTCAGAACAGAAGTTGTCTCCAGTGATTTGACCCAAGGAGGCTATCTGAGTAATAGATTGTTGGAAAGCTTTAATGGCTTGAGCAATTAGTTTACAAACTAATCAGTCTCATGAAACTACTTTGTCGATGTTCCCAAACCTGTTTCTTCATTCCACAGGAAGAGTTTTTGGTGTAGTGGAAAAGGAGAGCTGTTTAAATGTCCTTGTCAATCATTAGAGCAAGGCAAGCAGATAGGCCCTGTGCATTCAGCAGCAGAGAGGTATCGATGGTGGGACAGGCTTGTGTGAGCCTGTACTGCAACTAACATGTATTTATCTACATCTGTTGTTATTGACTTATCAGATATTGCTATTTGTGCTTGTCTTTTTGGGCGCAAAATACCAATGCCATATAAAACTATCTGGTAGATGGGCTAGTCACTTTAAACCCTTTCTTCCCATCAGAAAGCTGGAACAAGAGTGACAGGAATTTTTGGATAGGGTTCTGATTTACATTAACCACTTGTTGACTTTGCTTGCTTTTCTAGACAAGGTATTTTGTAGAGTATTAGTGTGTGTATACTTACATATGGCATAATGCCAGTATGCCTCACAGAAAGACACATACTGAAAAAATAAAAAAAATTGTGATTTTTAAAAAAGGTAAAATAAGTTAGGAGAACTGAAGAATTGCATTTATATTTACTTTCTGTGAGTGGCTTATATTTGTTAAGTTGCTAATATAGTTTTTGTGGTAGAGTGTTTTCTCTGTTTTTTTGCAGCATGCTGCATTTTGTAGAAATAAATAATTACAAATGAAAAGACAAGTTATGGGATGCACAGAAGCTATTATATAACATGGCTGATCCCTGGCTTACCGTGATATCGGTTAAGAGATACACATGCTGTAAATCTAAGATATAGGTATGACATACAGGAAGGAACTAACAAAAGGTCACAACATTTTGCAGCTTGCAATACCTATAATCATTTGTACAGTTTTCTGAACCTTTTACAATCTATATTAAGAATGTGTCTAGGTTATTCATTGTGAACTCCAGCAAATTGTTTCTGTGATGTGGGTGATTCTCTTAAATTACTTTCCCCCAAATATAGCAATGTCACTTCATAGAGTTGAAAAAATGTGGGATGCAAGAAGAAACTATATAGGTAATAGGATGAATAACTAAAGCAATTATATGCCAAATTAACATTTTTATTTGTGTTATAAATAAGACACAAGAAACTGAGCTATAGGGCTGCATATACACCAAGGCATACTGGTGAAATCATGGTAACCACAATAAAGAAATACAGGTTATTTATGTTGTCATCAGAACTCTGAGATTTGTTTGTGTAGCTTTTTTTTTCTTTCCGATTTTTAAGTATCTGCTTGAAGGATCTCACAGCATTTTAAACAAGGAAATACTATAATATTCACATTAAAGATGCCTTAGTCTTCTATGTGTTTACTATGTTAAATAATACCTATTGTTAGAGAATGCAGGGAAGAAGAAAACAGATTTATTTTTGTGAATACATTGCTCATTAGTGGGACTGGGACATCAGAGGTAACTCAGCTAGACATGCAGTTGATCTTAGTTCACATTCATCCTCTAATCTTGTTGATAATTGTATATAGGCTTTTCTCACAAAAAGTCGTATTTCATAGCTGTGATGCTAGGTTCCCTCTGACAACACTGCAGCAAAATGATTGTTTTTCCTAAATGGGAGTGGGTTTTTTGCAAGATCAATTTAATACTAAATGTGATTTCACCTCCATGGCTTTTTCTGTTTAAAATCCTGTGCTATCCTTCAGATATGTAAAACAGCATAGAACTGTACTTTCTCTGCTGTTTATTATTAGCCTGTATGTTATCACATTTACTACCCTTGCTATGTTAGTTTACAACTATATTGTCACTGAAATTGTATTGTGTATGAAAGTGAATTGTACTATTGCTGTGTCACCTACTCTCAGTGATACAGTAAAGTTATTTTACAAAGAAACGAAGTACAGGAAAATTGAGACTAAGGGGCCCAGTCCTGCTTCTGTTTGGGAGTATGTTTTGCTGCAAGGGCATACAATTATACAGCTTTGAAGTTAGTAGGACTCTGACTTGAGGAGGAACTGTGGGAATGAGCATGGTACCACAAACCGTTAAACATTTGCTAAGGGCTGAGAACTTTCTCTGAAGTGCTTGGACACCTTCAGTGGCACTCAGCACTGTGCAGAAGATGGTCAGCTTCTCATGAGCTTGAGCCAATGATTATCATGTGATACTGTAGTTGGAACACCTCTCATTGTGTGTATAGCAAAGTTACCTGCCTGAGTGACATTTTTTCTCTGTCTCACAGCAATATTCACACCTGGGCCAAACTCTCCTCTGTTACATATGGAAGTCAGGAAAATCACAGTTATACAGAAGAACAAAATTTGGCCCACAGTGTGTGCATCATCTGTTTTCACTAGTATTTGTAAAAACGTTTATGATGATGTAATCCCTTTTCTTGGACCAGTATGTTGGTTATAATACATAAGATTTTCAAGTCAAAAAGCATCATACAAAAAACCAACCAAATCCAAGCTGTAAAAGAAGACTCTCTCTCCTGCTAGCTGATACTGAGATTTACTCTATATCTATTCTAGAGTGTTGTCAGATATCCATTATGATCAGATGGCAGGGAATCACTAAATGTAAAGTGTCTTCCCACTGTATTTTGTGACTCCCATCATCCATGAAATATGGCTACAAAGATTAACATTTCTTTCTTAATAAGGAAAAAAATCAAACCTTTTCCAAAGTAATCTAGCAGAATTGTTTGCGTAGTATGTGTAGGCACACATGTATGTAGCAATATTTGTATCTGGCATATATGGTTGTGGTGATATCCATGTAATAAGCCAAGAAATCGTATCATAAATAGAATTTGGTGGCTTCACCTGTCCCCATTTAACATTGCTAATCTCTGAGCAGCTTCAAATAAGTGTCACATCTTAAAAAAAAAAAAAAAAGAGAAGAAAGAACCTGCCACAAAAAACCTGCCTTTTTGCCCCCCAAATATAGAATTTTCAGTCCAAAATTATATTGGTCTGTGGGCAGGCTCTGCAATATTTAGCCCTAGAACAGTGACAAGTTTAAGGTCTGATTATCACACAACCCATCCAAACTAGCAAATGGAGCTTTATAGAGTACTATTGGAAAGCACAGATTTACAGGGTACCAATGGGATAGCACTTGCTTTTTAGCCCCAAAAGGTCCCAAGATCTTGGACTTTAAGGATGTGATCCTTAAACATACATTTTAAATGTACCAGCTGTATTTTTTCTCTCCCTCAGAAGTTTATATAATTGGACTTATGGTATGAAAATACCTGGCTTTACAGAAAGGAGGATTTTTAAAAATCCCATAAGTTTAAAAAAACTCTCTCTAAAACATTGTTAATATATTTGCTCAGTTAAAAATGTGGCATAAGCAGAGCAAATGTTGATATGGTGTAAATGTTTACTTGCACTTGTGAAGAATGACTTGCAGAGCTTGCTCATGGCATTGCTGTTTGTGAGCAATATGCTGTCCAAACATCATGTCAACGAACCCTTGTACTTCACCATGCTCTCATGCATTTCCTCTGTATTTCATGCCGCAGTTAATTTACTTGTGTAATATTTTCTTTTTCTTGTATGGCTCTTGACAAGATGTATTTTCAACAATATACGCATGCCAAGGGGTGTGTTTGTGGAACGGCCAGTAAACCAAAGGTTCTGGCATTTTAAGATAGAAGCAGATCACTTTGTAAAAGGCTGTTTGATTTATCTGCTGGTTGGGGAACAGCAGATGAAATCGAAGGCATTTAAAAACACTAAGCATTCTTAGTTCAAAATCTGTTGAACTGTCCTTTCCTGGGTTTAACAAACATGAAATAACATCTATAATAGTCCGTTAATTAATGGCTCTGTAATACTACAATATACACTGACTTTCTCATTTAATCAGATATAATCTATACGTATTTAATCACACATGATTGAGGCTACCATGCTCTCCTGCTCCTGCCCTACTTGGGCTGGGCATTCCCTCCCCTGGGAACACACGGCGGGCTCTCCCTCTCTTTGAAACTCCCACATGTAGTGTCCCCACTCCCACTGAGTCCATCCAACTCTCTTCTGATTCCTCTCTGCTCCTTCCAAAGCCAGTTCTCAATCATTCCCGTGACAACCCTCCCCACTGTCATTTCCCTCCCACTTTCACTGACATCAGCCCTCCTGTATAGAGATCCTTGCTCCCACTGAGATGATCCTTCCCACGCTGAGACACTCTAACCTTTCTCACTCCCTGCGGCTGCCAGACTCCCAGGCTGCCTTTTGATTCTGTTGTTGCAAAGGACAAACCCTTTCTTTGCCCGTGGACTGTGGATTCCTTTTGAGTTGATATGAAGCAAACTTAAATAATTAGGCCTTTGATGCGATGAGAGGTATGTTCAGTTTTAACTACAGTCAGTTTTCAGCCTTGCATGCTGACATCGAAGTGGGGTTTTTTTTTTTTTTGATCGATATGATTTGATTTGATTTTGGTTTGAATAGAAGGTGGAAGAGCACCAATTCAAAGAGCAGTCCTGAGGCCACTCACAATGTATAAATTGCTCTGCTGGGAACATATCATGAGGTGTGTTGTTTTTTTTTTTTTTAAATCATTCAGACTAGCCAGAGGAGTTTGACGTAGAATAGGAACATACAAAAATTGTATCTCTGAACTTCAGTGCAGCTTCTTGTGTGGCGGAGGCAAGCAGGATTTGGCCCCGAATGTTTGGAGTGGATAATGTTAACTCCATAATGATTCTTTTCAGCTTATACCTTACTGACAGAAGTGAAACGCTCTTTTCTCTGTGCCTCCTGCAGCCATGTCCCTCATCCTCTCTGGCTGGAACTTCCTGTGTGTCCGTCTCCTGCTGGTTTCAGGCTTTGTGGCAAGTTTCTTAGCTCTTTCT